TAGACATACCCTAAGCAGCAAACTGGAGACCTAAGAACACACAGGCAACCTGACTTTAAATTGCCTGGGGTCTATCACAGGGTGTGTTACAATCTTAGTGTTAAATGTTGTAAACATTTACATATGTGAGTACCTTTACTCCCATGATTAGCCCCACTGAATGCATTCATTGTGTGCATAGGCATTTGCAAGATCATGACCTTAAGGTACATCTGCACTGGAATAAAAGAGTGACAGCATGACTGCCGTTGGCCCGTGTCAGCTGACTCAGGCTCACAGGACTCAGGACACAGAGCAGTAAAATTGCTGTGTAGACATTCACACTCGGGCTGGAGCTCAGGCGCTGGGACTCCGTGAGAAGGGAGAGTTACAGAGCCCAGGCTCCAGCCCCAGCCTGAACGTCTACAGAGTAATTTTGAATCCCACAGACTGAACCTCGCAAGCCCGAGTCAGTTGACTGAGGCCAGCCACAGGTGTTTCATTGTCAGGTAAGCACACCCTCACTGTAAAACTCTTTTTACATTTTTTTTATTGTCAAACTAAGTCCTTATTCATGAGAACAGAGACATGGAACAGTTTTCACTGTAGAAGTGGAGGCATGAGACAGGAGTCTTCTGTGTCTTCGTAACAATGGACAACACAGTCTTATATACCGAGTGATGTTACCAAACAAGAGAAGACATACCTGTCCTGCGAGCCTATTAACATTTGTCAGGGAGAAGAATAAAGACAGTGTATTCAGACAAAGCTGAAATGATCTTGTACTTTGCTGAACAAAACTTCCTTTGTGCAATACTGCCCCCCTATGCCTTTGTAACTAACCCACTAGCAACCTGTGATCCAAAACCTCCAAGAATTAGAGTGGGAAGAGAGAGACACTTAAATACATACATTTCAAAGAAAATTATAAGAAGACTACCTCCAATACCTGCTCTCTTCTGCCTCCCCACAACAAAGGCAGATGGGCAATGGAAACCTCTTCATTGTATTTATTTAAAAAGTGAACATAAATTCTCTTTTAAAAATAACTCAAAGCCATTAAATGTCTAAACAAACAACTTTTCATCGTATATGCCCTATTAAGTTATATAATTTTTAAAAGGTTGTTTAGCAAAGCAGCTCTCAGGTGTTCCCAGCATGCCTTCACTGGTGATGCCTTCACAGCTTAGAATAGGTTCTGAACAGGAAATCTTTGCCAACAGAGGGGAGAGTCATTCCTTTAAGCTAGCTCTTACTAGGAAGGAATATAGGATGGGTCTTCAGTGCTTCTTCTATAGCACTTTTCTAAAAGTTTTGTTTATTTACCAATCTTATCGCATAGCCTGCAGCAGAAAAAACAGCTGGAATATTGAAAAATGGACTTCCTCTCCCTCTAGAGAGGTAGATACGATGCTCACTTCCTCCCACCACCTGTTTTTTCTGTGGCCTCTTTAATATGTTTGTTAAATTAACAATATTGCAGATGTTGGCAATTAGTGGAATATAAATAATATATAGACAAACAAGAATTTCCAAAATAAATAAGAAAGGTCTCAGGGTTTGGGTGACCAACAACAAATGGTCATGGGTGCCAGTTTAAAAGACTTTGGCAGCCAGCCTTGAATTCAGACTAAGATTGCCATTTGTTTATTCAAAACCCTGGCACAATACAGAACAGAGCAAAGATACTACCTCCTGCATTAAGGAGCTTATATTCCATATTAGAATCTTTGGGGTCTAATTTAGGGAGGTGGGTTGTACTGTAGTTTAAATTTATTCATACAACTCATTCATTGCATGGAAAACCAAGTAAACCAGTGTTCCAATCATCATACAATCTTTACCTATTTGAGTTCTTTTCTCCTGAGAATGCCTAATAATTCTTTCATTTTTGGATGGCTATTTTCACACACATATACCCTGTACATCAGTTTTCTATTTCTGTTCATTGCAAATAATAATTTAACAGGAACTGCCTACAAAGGGATTTGTTGGCTCAGTACATTAACCTACTAAGCCTTTCACCTCTAGATACTTCTCAATTCTGTCTTATGGTAAATCATCAGTTAAAGTTAGTCTGGTACTCTCATTTTCATCCACATCACAACACCACTATGTCATTTGGCTAAATTTGGCCCAACTGAGAGCCTGAGTTACAGAAAGCTAGGATACCAATGGGTGCTGCAGGATTTAAAGGAATTGTTTTGGCCACTAGATGGAGCTCATATTGTTCCACAGGCAGAACGGAAACAATTATTATTTATTATTATGGCTGTTTTTCAAAGGAATCTAAGAGAGTTACGCACCTGATTTCCATTGAAATCCAAGGGATCTGGGCACCTAATACTCTTAGGATCCTTTAAAAATCCCAGCCGTCATCTTCCATGTGTTATGGAGTTCAAAGTGTTTCTAGATCATACAAAAATCTTTGCAATATACAAATATTAGACCTCCATTCAATTTATTAGCAACTAATTTTCTTTTTACCTTCCATAAATAGGGTATCCCTTAAAATGATGTGCATGATGCTAAGAGTAGTTAGGGCTGTACAAAGTCAAAGTCACACTTGGGTGCAGAGGACTGCTACAAGGCCTAGCTCAGCCATTTTGTAAGGTTGTGCAGGAGGGGAAGTGCGGTTGGAGCAGCCAAGCTGGAGGCCTCTACACCTTCTGTGCACTGCAGAGATGAGGTCTGCACATATGCTGCTGGCCCAAAATTTCTGTCTATAGCAAGCAGAAGGGCAACAGCTGGTGTTCCAGCTAATAGACTAGAATTCTAGCCGGTGGAAGGGAAAAGGTGAATTCCCCTGCTAGCTAAGGATATATAAATTATATGTCCACCACCCACTTGGACTTCTCCTTGTGAAGCCTGGTTACTAGAGCTTTGAGGAAAAGAGTAAATTTTACCAGAAAATAAAATCTCATTGTTTTGTTTTATCAGAATAATACAAGCTTTCTGTTCCTGTATAGTAGTGCTCTATTACTTGACTTAAAAATCTAGCCTCAATATTTTTGACACTACCAAAAAAATTTAACTGCCATTGTACAAAGACTTCACCATGATTGTAGGGAGAGAGACAGACAAGTAAATAATAATACCATATAGCTCTTGAAAAGCACTTTTCATCAGTAGCTCACAAAACACTTTACAAAGGGGGGTAGTACCATTACCCCCATTTTACAGATGGGGAAACTGAGGCACGGAGTAGGGAAGAGATTTGTCCAAGGTCACCCAGCGGGTCAGTGGCAGAGTTGGAACCAGAACCTGGGTCTCCAGAGTTCTAGTTCTGTGACCTGAGATGGCTTTTTCAAGAGTGCTTACTGTTAGCCTAACTCTGCTCCCACTCAAGCCAAAAGGTGGTTTTACTATTCAAAGACAATAGGCAAATCAGAACTTTTATCCTTTGAAACATGAATAGCCAAAGGTTATTAAAGGTGACCTGTTTAAAAAAAATACAACCTGTGTCTTTTAGAATGTTGAGAAAGACCTGGAAATATTCCTCTCAGGCTTATTTTTACATTAAAAATGTTAGGCCTTGTCTACCCTGGTTTTGCCTGGATGACTCTATGAACACCTGCAGAATTAATGACAGGTGAATGAAACCTTAGTAACTGAGTGAAAAAGGGATTTTTGTCAGAATCCTTAAAGAAAACCAATCAAGATTTAAAAAAAAAAAATAATAATAATTAATTAAATTTTTACACATTTGTTTAACCCAGTGTTTTGATGACAAACATTTTGGTGGAAAGCTCTCTTTGTTAGAGATTCAAACTCCCTATTCTTCTATTAAGGGATAAGATAGCTCCCACTCCAGTTCTCTAGTCCTTCAAGAAGCCTTTCAGGACAAGTCTTAATATTCTTGATCATACTAGGTTATAAGAAGAGAAACAAATACCTTTACAATCCCACATTAAGGCTTTTATAGGTCATGAAAGGGGAGAAAATGTTTGTACTCCTCCTTTGTAAGTCACCTTTAAAATAGCCAGGAGACTGAGGTAAAAGCAGCGTGAAAAATAAACCCACTTAGGCCTTGTCTACATGAAAATATTCCTTACCCTTGTTCAGCTATCGTGGAGCTGCACTGGTACTATCAATAGTGTAAATTCTAGTTTAGACAGGGTTGCAAGCTCTTAATCACCATGCCATATAATCCTAACTGTGGTAAAAAATAGTGACACCCAGTCTACCTTAGAGCTTCCCCATTGGTTGCAACACTGTGGCTACACCATTGCTGAAAAACAGGCAAGTAATTCCCTCATGTAGATACCCATTAAGAAGCACTTGTTACTGGAGAAAAATGAAATGTAACAGTTAACATGTAGTCAAATCCAGATGCTCATGATTTCATTTGCCACATATACTGATAAATTGTGTTCAGACAAGTTCAGTTACCACAAATTGCATCTTTTACTGCTATCTGCTCCTAGTGCAAAGTTGCAGTGCTAGTCTGTGACATGACTAGTCTTTCCAGATTAATCATCTGATTATTTCACAAAATCTTAAAGTAGAAGTGGAGAGGTCATCTAGTGTAATCTATTAAACCATCTAATAGAGTTACTATTGTGTCATTTACTTCAATGGCCTAACATTGCATGATTGTCCCCTACAGGCAATCTTCAGTACATTGTCTTGCCTTTTCCCTGCAGGAGCAAGCAGGAGGGCTCTGAGAGACACTGCTCTTATTTATTAAAACAAATATCTACAGTATTAGCTCAGAGAAAGGTGAAAACAACTGGCAAAGTAAATTATGTATATCAATTTCTCCTCAAGTTTGCAAGTGTATGCAACACCGTTTTAAGTGTTGAATAAAATTAGCACTTCAACTAATTTAAAAATCTTAAAATAAAAATAATCTTGCCTCTTTATATTCATGCCCATGGTCCCTCCTAGTACCACTGATTTCTTCCTCCTACCCTGATTTAAAATACTACATAAACAACATAGTCAGTGAGGTGTATCAATACATGCAATGAAATCCTAAAGGAAAAAATGTTTCTTATTCAAGTGCACATTCAGCATACCTTTTCCATGACAAGACGAGCAAGCTTTATTGGGTTAGCTATACATTTAACTGCAGATACTGCTCCTGAGGCTAGATTTTTTCCATCCATGATAATGGCATCCATTTCTACTTCACCCTTCTCATTTAAAACAGATCCACAGCCTAAAGACCAAAAGGGGGGCGGGGGGAAGAAAAAAGACATTAAGAGCTAAACATGGGGTGATTCAGTTTTATTAGCTTTTATTAGGCAAACCTCTTTTCCAGTTTGTGTATTGGCTTGTTTTAAGCCTCCTAAATGCCAAACAGGTTTTGAAAAGAGAAACATTCCTGTTCAAACAGAAATAATTAATAGGATAGTATATGGAACTTAATATAATTGAATTTTTAATGGTACCTAAGTCACATTAGGAGTGAAGGGCAGAGTTATAAACAACTATAAATGAGACTGTTTCTACCGCAATATCTCTTTTTACACACATAAAACTATTTTACCTCCACATTCCTCCAACAATAGATGCAGTACAACCTATCAGTATACCTTAGGGTCTAATCCTTTGAGGTGCTGAAATCAATCAGAGATGAAGGCAGACGGTATCTTCCCAGGCCAAACAACAAGATTTCAACCACTGTTGGATTTGGTGCAATGGCACAAATGCAAAATTCTAGCAAGAGTGGAAAAATGTATTTTCCATTCACCAAAAGTCTGAAATATTGTGAAATATTTATCGTTAGCAAAAATAAATGAAGGAGTTAAGAAAAACACTAAGACAAATAATAAAATGCTGTGAAAATCTGAGCAGTTATTGGAATAGCTTTTTTTAACTATTTATGTCAATTCCGTAGCGAAACCTTCTTTCAACAATGAGCTATACTGTGTGATATGCAGGGTGATACTGTAAAAAGCTCTTTAGTAACTGGAATATTTTATCAAGGGTGCTGGTTAGTAATTGATCATCACTGAAATCAACACAAATGTATAAATCTTGCAAACAGTGGGGAGAAAAGTACAACTCCATTTGAAATCAAGCTTCTAGTAGAAACACCTTCAGTATGTTGTTAACAGGACTGGTGCTTTAGCTGTGCTTAAACTGTGAAAAGGTATTTTCCTGTTAGTAAACACCAGTTTCCATCCTTCTTTAATATTGGATTAACAATCTCTGACATTAGACTTTTAAGCCAAAATATTACAGACCTGGTGCCACTGACTTCTGTGAGATTATTCACCTGAGTAAAATTATATATGTGCTGATGTATGGGAGATGAGGTATCGGTGAGCTCAACTCCCCACTTTCTGCTAAAAGCATAGAACTCTCCTTTCCCCCATAGTTTGGATTCCTCTAAAACTTCGGGTTGCCAACCCTCCAGATTGGCCTGGAGTCTCCCGGAATCAGCATCTATCTCCCGGTGACTATTGAAAGCAATCTGGGGGATTTTAATAGGATATTTTAAGAAAATGACATTACGTCATGCTGGGGAAAAAATATCTCCTGGAACAGTTCAGTCAGAGTTGGCAACTCTACAGCTGCTCCTGCACTATTCAGATCAGTAAGTTAGCAGTCTGTGACTACCACTGGCTGCCATCTCCCAGCTGGGTCACATATCTGTTCCTGCCTCACATATCCAGGAAGACAAGTTCATGCAGGTGTTTCAAACCCAGAGCATTCAAACATGACAGCTGCTGTGCACTGAGATGGGCAATAACTAATCATAAGCCACTACATTTGCAGCAGCACTTCACAAAAACACGGGTCATTTGGCCCAGCTTTGAATCAAGGGCAGGAAGCAAGAGCCAAGGAAAACCCAAAGGCCAGCAAGGAGTGGGTCTGACCTCTTCCAAACTGTAGTAGGGTTTATAGGGGCAGAGCACTTATCTAGCAGATGAGAGGGAGTCTGTGTGTGCCTTTGTCTGCTCTCACTGGAGCCTGTTTCTCCACACTCCCTGCTATCTATGCACCACAGCGTGGCTGGGCCTGCAAGGGAGAAGAGAGTATAAAGAGCGTTATATTCCTGACATCGGAGCTGTAGTCCTTGTACATCATAGGTTCGGCGTTGCTACTAGCAGGTCAGGTTTCTGTATCAGATATGGACTAGCTGCAGAGCTATTCCAGAGAGATACTGTATACCAGAGATGTAAGACACTTTAATAAAATGCCAGGAATAGCTGGTGTGAAGTCGTTATGTTAAACAGAGCACCACCTCGTGGCTGAACAGTATAACATATTTTAGAATTCCATTCCATATGGAGTGTAAACTAGCACTGTTAACCCCCATAGACGGGGTGGCAAGGAGGTGTGACCATGGCCCCTTCTCACCTCAGCCAGTGGAGCTAACCAGTTTCTAAAGGGAGTATATGCTGCATGCTCTGTGCATGCAGTTAGATCTGGAAGATGTGCCTCTTGAACGCCTGCAAGGGCTGGGAGACACATCATTCACAACACATGGCCCAACTGAACCCTGTTGTCTAGAAGAGACCTGTGTCACTTCATCCTTACCCCTATTTCCTCCCCACCCCACTCCTTGTCTCTTAGAAATGCTGGTGTTTTCCAGCAAACATTACACAATAAAACCGCTTTCTCCTTTATGGAGATAAACACCACATGGTGGGTTTTAAACAGCCACTCCAATCAGGCCTCTCTTCACATAGCTTTCAGCTCATTTTCTCCTGCTCATTAAATACAGCTGTTCTCAATGAGCTTTAACACATGTAGCTGTATATGTAAGTGATTACAACTACTTACCATGTGCATTAGTGAAGCCAAACTTTAACAAGTGGGCTGCAAAACTGTTTCAGCTGAAAGCTCAGGCCCACAACCTTAGCAATTTTTTGTTAAAAGTCAGTTGTCATTTAATGTGTGAAGTACATTATAAACAGAGCACGGAATACAGTTATCTGAGCAAAGAGTAAATTTGAGTAAACATTATTAAGCAAAACAATCTATTTCAGGCTTAAAATATACTGATTTGCTCATTTATAACAAAAGGTGGCCACAAGACTCAGTTCAGGAAAAGGGAAGCCATATACATGTACTTTGCTTTATATGCTAGTTAAATGTTAAAATTGTTGACTAACAGTCTTTTTGGTAGAGGATAATCTGAAGTTTTATCAGCCATTTGCGATAGTTTGATAAATTCAGAGCAGCTGCTCACAGTCATTAAATCAGCGAAATAAGAGTTTAGACACATGGGGCTAAATTCCCCTCTCAGTTACAATGGTCCACTGAAGCCAAAGGGTTCAATGTAGCGAAGCTAATGAAGTAACACCAGTGAAACAGAAGGAAAATTTCACCAACAGATTCTTTGTCATGTAGTACAGCCCCTCTATTTTAATGGATTAGTTGGTTGACATTGGGGTAGTAAATTCTTACAGTGCTCTGTCAGAAAGGACATGACTAAGAACCTCAAGTCTTGCATTCTAGAAAACAGGACAAGGCTTCCTCTTGAGGGCAGTGTTTTGCAGACAATCACTTTTCTTGCCCTAGACAGAAATACATAACTTTAAAATATTGGTTACTATGTGTCTGAACTTGATGTCTACGAGATAGACAACTTGGACAAGGAATAACGATATAGTGAAGGGGAATGAAAATATCCCCAGATGGAAAACTTAGGTACATATGTGGTGGTGGCAAAATAATGGTCTACCTACCTTTCCCTAGCCAACTTATTTTTTTCTGCTCCCTCCCCTTCCATCCCAGTAGGACTCAAAAGTAGTAATCCCAGGAGTGACAGGATACTGTATAAAGGGATATGGAGAGCCTTTGGTCAGCTTACGGGTATTAAAAATTATATTATTTCAGTGGCCAGTGTAGCCAGCCAGGTTTTCAGCCTTTTACATGTAAAAAAAAATTCTCAATAGTGGCACCCAGATATACTGCGCAAAACAGCACACACAAGTAAACCTTACTCAACCAAGAAGCTCCATTGGCTTCAAATATATGCTCTGTCTGAATAAAGATTAAAAATACATGTTCACATGTGTTTTTGTAGAACCATCTATACTTGTGCATAACAAACCAAAAGATCACATGATCTTTTGGTTGTAATTCTTCCCTTTCCCCCTTCTCTGTTTTTCATTATCACACATAGTATTACATTTAAACGTAGGCCCAGACCCTATGACTGGCTCCATGCAGGCAGATGAAGACCTAAGACCAAGTGGAGATGCAATAAAGTTGGCAGGACTCCTCAGGAGATCAGGGATTTGCCTGTGCAGACCTAGCTCATGTCTTATATGCAAAAAGGCAATGTCTGGCCAGAGGAGCGCTTCTCCGACACATACAAGGTAAAACTATAGAGTACTGAAGCATTCAAATAAATAAAATGCTGAAAACAAAGTTCAGATACTGATCCATTAACATAAGCAAAACAAATCTCCGAAGGTGGGGGGGAGTAAAGACTTCTTTCATGGACAGGCAAAGAAAAGTGCAAGATCAAGTAGAGAACAAATCTAGGGTTGGTTATATAACAATCGCATCTTTCGTACCATGTTTGCCCCATGTTTCTGTTTCCATTTTGCTAATTCAGAAAGGCTTGTCACCAGCAGTGTTTTCTACCCAAGTCAGTCAGAGAACAATATATTTCTAAAACAAAGTGAAATGGCTTTTCAGTTACAGGATGGGGAAGGACATATGATGCTCTCTGAACTAGGTGGCCATGCTGAAAACAATTGCGTCTACATAAAGCACTGAACAAATGCGGGCCTTTTTCTTCAGCTCCATTCCTGACATATTGAGTGGGAGCACTAAAGGAGAAAAAGGAGCACTATTTTCCACTCACTTTAAGCAAGATGATAAAATGGGGTTGGTGGGAAGGGGAAAATATTAGACAGCATCATTGAAGATGGGGCCTCATAACTGGTATACTTAGCAATGAGCATACTCGTAAGAATTCACAGATTATCTACTGTTTTAACAGCACTGATATTCTGAAGAGAACAATCCCACTCGGGCAGTAGATTTAGGCCAAGCACTGACAAAAAGATCGAGGTCTAAGTTTTGCCCATAGTTGCATTCAGGTAATTTAAATGGAAATGCCAGGGTTATAATGAAGGTATAATTCACTCCTGAGGGTCTGGGTCTCTTAATAAACTCACAGTACAAAAATGAAGGAACTTCTGCACAAGAACAACACTGCAGAACAAGAACAAAGCTGCAGCTATTTTAAAAAAACCTGAGACCAAAAATAGAAACTCTGCTGGCAATGCCCCTACTTATACAGCCCAAAATGCCATTGGCCTTCTTGGCAACAAGGACACACTGTTGACTCATATCCAGCTTCTCGTCCACTGTAACCCCTAGGTCCTTTTCTGCAGAACTGCTGCTGAGCCATTCAGTCCCTAGTCTGTAGCGGTGCATGGGATTCTTCCGTCCTAAGTGCAGGACTCTGCACTTGTCCTTGTTGAACCTCATCAGATTTCTTTTGGCCCAATCCTCTAATTTGTCTAGGGCCCTCTGTATCCTATCCCTACCCTCCAGCGTTATCTACCTCTCCTCCCAGTTTAGTGTCATCTACAAACTTGCCGAGGGTGCAATCCACACCATCCTCCAGATCATTAATGAAGATATTGAACAAAACCGGCCCGATGACCGACCCCTGGGGCCCTCCACTTGATACCAGCTGCCAACTAGACATGGAGCCATTGATCACTAGCCGTTGAGCCCGACAATCTAGCCAACTTTCTATCCACCTTATAGTCCATTCATCCAGCCCATACTTCTTTAACTTGCTGGCAAGAATACTGTGGGAATGAGAAATACTTACAATGAGAAATAAGGCATTTTGAGAGGCCAGCATCCAAACAAGTGCAGTCTGTGCTCAACTAAAAGCATCACATTGAAAAATCCACCCCTCCCCCGCACAACCAACAGAGCAAAATGCACAAGGATAATAATGTGGTCTACATAGAGAGATTTCATTATGTAGTTATATGCTTGAAAAATTACCTGCATTAAAATGTGGATCATCTTCCATTGAGGTCACTGCTTCTTCAACTGCATCTAATGCACTGCCTCCTTGTTTAAGGATACTGTAACCTTTCAGTGCTGCTGTGGTAACACCTGAACGAGCTCCTTCTTCCCGATCTTTAAAGATGCGGCCAGCTCCACCATGAACCACAATAACAGGCTTCATACTGCCAAATCCTTGCCAATTACAGATGTAGAAACATGTTATTCAGAACTAATTTTCCTAAAACACATGCAAAGCAAGAAGCTTTAGCGAATGCTCCCTTCTTCATGGTCCAGCCCCACAGATGAAATCCACTGCGGTGCTCAGTGTGATATTAACTAGGTTTATTTTTCAGGAGACTGAACATTCTCAACACAGGCTTTCTGATTCTGTAATTCACCTCATGTGCTGACAGGGCATAAGTATGTTGACTTTCACGGCATGTTGCAAAGGCCATCTATTTACTTAGCCTTATCCTGAAGGATGGGTTGAGGACGGAGGGTTTTAAAAGGTCCATTCTTACTGCCACTATAGTCAATGGAAGTTTTGCATGTGACTTTAGTAGATGCAGGACTGACCCTTCATATCTCATGGGGAAAGAGAATTTGGTTTGAATAATTATTTCATGTGTTTTTTCAATTATATTATTCATACGGCTTGAGATATTGTGATAGGCATAGATTTTATACTTTGAGGAAATAAATAAGAGCTCAACAAATGAGAAGTAGAATTATACTGAAGAAAGGCAAAAGAGAAAAACAGCTCTCAGGAGAAACAGTATCATACTTAAACACTTTTGTCTGTAAATTCTCTTTCTGCATTATAATTGTATATATAGTAAGTAAATAGAGCCCAGAAACAGCAGCTACAAACTCACTGAATCATATGGTTAGGTGAAAAAGAAAAAGGAAAAAAATGAGGTCATGACAATTCTGCACCTGAAATGGTTTTGGTTTCAAGTTGCTCTTTTTATACATTGATGGCAGAATTTGGTCTTAAGATATACGCAGGCAACCTTCATTCACTTCAGTGGGGGTTACAATTTTTTTGGTGAATCCTAACTTTGACAAGCTTTTAAAAATAAGTTTGCACACTATATATCTACATCTACACATTTCAAGATATTGCACTTGTCTCCCTCAACCTGTTTTAAGAAGTTTCACTTACATAGTGAAAGAAATAATTCTTACATGTGGAGAAATAATTCTTCTATAACAAATAATAAGGAAATTAAAACTTGAGGCTTGTTCCTGCTAACCCTTCTTTCATGTCAGGTGAATAATCTGTATCTTCTACTTTAATCAACCTGTTTGCATAGTGCAGTTAAAGCTACTCACCTGACATGAAGGAAGTGTTAAGCAAGATCTGGCCTTAGTTTAAAACTTAACTGATGCTTTCGCCTGGATTTCAAACCTTTGACCACTTGCAAGGTAAGCACAAACTTCGTACTCTGGGAAACGCAAGATGTTACAAGCTGGTAGTGAACAGCTTAATTTTTATTTTTGACTGTATAGAAAGGAACATTAATTGCTTTGCCACTCTGTAAAGAATGAGAAATAAGGCATCTTGAGAGGCCAGCATCCAAACAAGTACAGTCTGCACTCACCTAAATGTATTACATTAAAAAATTTACACACACACCTCTGTCGAGAACAAAGGTAAATCTCCCCACTGTATTTTCCACTGAATGCATCTGATGAAGTGAGCTGTAGCTCACGAAAGCTTATGCTCAAATAAATTTGTTAGTCTCTAAGGTGCCACAAGTACTCCTTTTCTTTTTGCAAATACAGACTAACACGGCTGCTACTCTGAAATTTGTCTTTATGGTCATTTCTCCTTTGCTTTTCCTCCATTTCCATCTTACTTCTAGGACTCATGAGGCATTTCACCACATGAGATTAGTATATCAGGACACACTATTATTATTAAGAAGATGACATATGCCAATGGGAGGAATGGACTTGGATATAATACATCTTTTCACAGATAGGTGGTAAACTGTGAGCCATGTGATACGGTAAATTACATTTATCATGCAATGATTATAGTCTGGATTCTGCCTCCATCTTCTCCTGGGACTACTTCTAACATTACAAGCCTCTGAATGGTCACCATTTAAAAAAAAAAAAAAGCCTGATGCCAAAAAACAAACAAACCAACCACCCCATTTTATTCTTTACCTTCCCAAATGTTTACTCTGACGTATCTGATTGGCATTCTTTAGTCCTGGTTGACTGGTTTAGAGGCCCAATCTCTTATAAGCCACAGGGTTTTGGAAAGGAGCTTTATACCATATCACCAGTGTTATTTATAATAGCACACTAAATGTGCCAGACATTGTACAAGCACATAGGAAAGCACAATCCCTACTGCAAAGGGGTTACAGTCTAAAAATGGGGCACACGGTTACTTGATTATAGCTCCGAAAGGTACTAAGATATTGGATTTTAAAGCAGACGTATTTATGTAGCCTAGTATTTAGATAGTTAAACAAACAAACAATACATTCCTCTTTGTCAGGGAGAGTCCCCATAGTTCGAAGGGAATCTGGCTTTACTAGAGGAGGAATGAAAAATAGTATGGGTTTTTAAAAAAATGCTCTAAAACCAGTTTCTGTTAACTGTGTGACACACACACACACATATATATATATATATATATATATATAAAAATACAGATGGTGCCATGTGACATACTTTTAATTGGCACAGTTGTTTGGCGGCCTGCATAACTCATTTATAACTTTGCAACTGGTAAAGAGTTTACCCATCCCCAACTCTTGCAGATCAAACCTTTATACCCCATAATCATGAATCCTCTCAATAGATTACATTTGTGGTACTGACCACTACCAAGATTAAATAAAGGAGGAAAATACACCTCTTTTAGCATAAAATGATACAACTTAGAAATGCAGACCTGCTCTTTGGGAGGGGGGTGGATTTTAGAACTCAGCCTTCACACCCACTCCTTCTGGGGACAAAGGATTTTGCTACACGATTTTCAATAACGAGCGCTTAAATGTCTCCCTCATTCACAATTCCCCCCCAGCACCTGCAGACAAGCGACAGTTCCCAGAAATTCCTGAGAATCGACATGTGTACCAAACCAGAGCAAGCAGCAGAGGACTAGCAGAAAAAGCGAGGAGGAGGAGGAATGCATTCATTCACGCCGCTGCAGGCAGTTTTGTTACAGGGTAGAGTTACTCACAGGTGGTTGCTCTTGCAGACTTCGCTGATGAGTAGGAAATCTTAAGGGAGGGACACAGAACAGGAGCCAAGGGTCTGCAAACGCTCAGTCTTGCTTCCGCATGAGATGGCTCTGGTGTAAAAGGCTGGTGATCACATGAGCAGCAATTATCAGGCAGTTTGCCCTTAGTAAAAAGAGCTGCTGTCTTCCTGTGTTTGAATGGATTTGAAGGAAGAAGGCTCCCTTAATTAAAATGGCTACCTAGGTCCTCTCAGAAGCGAGGCGAGTAAAGGCTGCCATCCATTACTGTCAAGAGGTTCAAAGCTAAGGTGCCGTCTGTCAGGGTTTCTACCCCCCTTATCCTCTAGCAGTGTTTTTTTTTTTCTTGTCTTTTGTTCTCCCTGAGGTGGGGACGGAAAAGGGCTCAGGAAGCTGAAGGCAGGGAAGGGAGGTGCAGGCTAGAAAAGGAAAACGGACAGCTGCCCCCTTCTTTCTGCTGGAGTGGGACTGCCGAATCCCCCGCCTGGCAGCCTTCTGCTGTGTGAGTGGCAGCTTAGATTTGCAATGGAAAATGCACACACACATTTGTGGAGAGGCTTCCAACTAAAGATCAACAGCATAAAGCACACAGAAACCTAATCCAGTGTGGTGTTTTTAATCTCATGAGTCTAAATTAGTGAAGCTGAATGCAGGTGAAATTGAACAAGTGAAACTTTATTAAACCCTGTGGACTGCTATCCACCAGGCTGAGTTGCTTCCTGCCTAACTCCCTATGTTCCCCTCACCAGGGTTGTGCCATCTATAAGAGTCTCTCCAAGAACATGGCCCCTCTGGCAATGATACAGCATTCAGGTTTTTCAGCCCATGTGCTGCCCCCCTTCTGTAGGTTATGCTGCTGGCCGGTTAGGCACAAGAGCCCACATCCTCAAAGGTATTTAGATACAGACAAATAACTTCAAGGGTCTGGGCCAAAGCCCATGGGCATTCCTGTGTCCCCAGATGGACATTGGAAGTGATTTCATTATTGCAAATGCACGTGTTTACAAGCAACTCTGCCCAGCAAAGATCATTGTAGGTAAACACCCCAAACCAAACCTTTCGTTCATGCTTATAAATGTTCCTGTTTCACCACAGCAGCAGCTAGACTGCAGGCAATATTATGCAATGCTGTAGCCTCAGGAGCACTGTGGACAAGGACATACACCTATTCAGTGAGCCAATGCTAGGCAAAGCCACCTGTGTGAACCACTCCCTTACTTGGTTAATGGCATGGGGGTCCTATTCATTGAGAACTAGAGTTGGTCAGGAGTTTTCTATCAATTATTTTGCATAAGAGAATGCAGTTTTGGGAAAATCAGAATCAACTGGTATGTTATCAGGATTATGCCTATCCCAGTGCAGGGGAAGGTCAGAAAGTCTCATGAATTTATGGACTTTTCTGCAAAATTCAACGCAGATACCCACACTAGATGTGAGCATGTGGTGAGTTATTCACATTTTTTAAAAGAAATAAAATTGTTTTGAGGAAATGAGGATTTCTACAGGTATGATGGTGTCACAGAATTCCTACTTTGTCCCATGATGGGACTTCTACTTTAGTTAACTGTACTACAATGACAGGTTTCAGAGTAGCAGCCGTGTTAGTCTGTATCCACAAAAAAAAAAGGAGTACTTGTGGCACCTTAAAATTTATTTGAGCATAAGCTTTCGTGAGCTACAGCTCACTTCATCGGATGCATACTGTGGAAAATACAGTGCTTTCATTAAGTTGATGGATTTCCACTCCATACAGCTAAATTCAGTGTCTTGCATAATACAAGGTATTTTCCACTGCATGCATCAGATGAAGTGAGCTGTAGCTCACGAAAGCTTATGCTCAGATAAATTTGTTAGTCTCTAAGGTGCCACAAGTACTCCTTTTCTTTCTGTGCTACAAGTGATTTACTCAATTTTAACTATCAGGTGTGCCACTGCCTCATTTGTCTGCCTTGTCACTCACTACATAATTTGATTTATCCCTCTCGCTACATTCCGAAAACTCCACCCCTTCCTGAGAAAACAAAAGTTCAGAATAAACAATTATTTGAATCAGGCATTCTTTTCCTTCTCTGTGCCACAGGCCTCATTTGAGGGGCGAGCAAGTTTGTCAGCATTCATGAGCAATCTTCGACTGTTCATTTTCAATATGTGTAATACTGTAGTTTAAATTTAAGCTTGATTCAAGGGCAGATATGATTGTGACTTGTAGAGAGACTTATAAGAAATTGAGCCTTAGCTCCAGGTTGAAGCAGCTCAGAAGACAGTTAAGTAGCCTGGATCAATTCAAATCCTGTATTGATTACAAAGGCAAGGAGTCGGTGTTTGTCAATAATATGTTCACAGCATATAAACAGAGAAGTTAGAGTATGTTATGTTTTATCTATCTGGAAGGTTGCAATGTAACACTACTTTATTTCTTAAAACCCAGAACCTTAATACACAAGAACCAAAAACCAAGAGGAAGCAGGCAGCTCTCTAAATCAGAAAGGAACAACTTGCCCCACCTTGCTCTAGGCTGGTTCTTTGCAGACTGAAAGCTCAAAGACCCAGATCATACTTTTTCCTATGGAGCCCACTAACAGGACCAGGAAACCCCTGAGGAATTTAAAGTGATAGTTTATCATTTTAAACACAGAGTTCAATACAACACAATCAGTTTTTATTAATGGTCTGCAAGTGAGTGCTTCTTCACTGAAAGGAACTCTGGCAAACCAAGAAGGAATATAAAACAAAAACATTCTCTTTAGGTTTTATTCTAAATCCAGTTCCAGCGTTCCCTCTCATCAGGGTCAAGGCAAACAAAGGCTAGGTCTACATTGCACACTACTGGTGGAGGCATGTAGGGTATGTGTAGCTACATGCCCCAGTGGAATGCAATCTGTGACCACGGTGTGTTGTGTAACTACATACATCTGTGAAAGATTCTGGCAGGGAGAAAGACTCCAGCAGAGGGGAGGCTGCAGGACAGTACAGTTATAAAAATAGCAGTGTAGATGGGGAAGGTACCACGTGGGTATGTAAAGAGCCATGTAGGGTACATACCCTAAGGGTTCAGCTGTGTCTTTACTTACCTAAGCAGTGCCTCACCATCTGTACTGCTATTTATACCTGTGCTAGGCACATGTGCAGTGTAGATGTACCCAAAGTCCCAAATTTGCCATTGTGGCCAACAAGCAACCTTCTTCCTTCATCATAGCTGTTTGGCTTAACAGACCCTGAGCTGCCTCTTCCTCCCTCTTTTATTTGAGGAGTCCATCTGCTTCTGGGCACAAAATGGGCATGACAAACGGGGAGCAGACAGACAAGGATTTACAGCAATATGCAATTGCTTGGGTTAGGAATGTTTTAATCCTCAATGTAAAATAGTTTAAAATGATTTAAAATTTAATTAAATTGAAAGAGAAACTACATTGGATGGTTTTCCATTGTCACTGATAGGATTAAGAAAGTGACAGGGATTTAAATTTTATATGCAAATTATGTAAGTGCAGTATCCACCATTTTTTTTTTTTAGTTGAGGACTCTCCTGGTTGTCTACATAAGATAATTTTACTGATTAAATTGGTTTAGAAACTGATTTAGTTAAATCAATGCAGACTCGTGTGTATAATTTAAGCTTAAACTGACATAAGGCACTCAAATTGAAATCAGAGTGTCTACACAAGGAGGATACACCATTTTAAACAAGAATAGGTGTGTCAATTTGACTAAACCAATATAAATCATATTAACACAACTTCTGTGTATAGAAAAAACCTAAGTCAGTTTGTAAATGCCTAATAAAATTGATACAATTTTCACATGCAGACAACGCCTGTGGAATCAAGAATCTGAACTCCCGAGGTAGGCTATTTCCTTGCTGGGATAGAAACAAATGGACACAAATTCAGGTTGTCACCTACTTAGTATAATTTATTATGAGTGTGCATACTCTCAAACAGATATGTTGATGCAAAGCAAATTGAAGTTTATTGCATTAATATGCAGCGCTACTTTCAGAACTTCTGCAGAACAGCTGTGTGCAGATTTGTAGCCAGACAACGGCTTAGCCCCAGATGCTGCTTTAAGCTCACTTTAAGGCTCTGTCTTAGCTCCTCTCAAACACACTAGGTGTATTTTATGCTGAAGTATTCCAAATTAATTTGCTACTAACATCCAGAACACCTCCAAACCAGCACCAATCCATCTGAGGTTTCTAGGTTTGTCAGAAGGGAGCCACTTAGGATTTCTACCTTTGAGACAATGGGTATAATAGGTACCCTATAAAATAGTAGCAGCTGTCCAAGAATTCATCACTTATGTGTCTCAGCACTGAACTATGAACCCATCCTACTAGTTCTCTAGGAGTCCAACAGTGCCTTTTAACAGTTTGTGTGAAGATGGTGTATCTCAAAAAATATCTAATTAACATTCCTTTCATATCTTTGTCATTCTTTTTACAATGGAAAACTGTTGCATACAGAAGAGTTGAGTCAAGGCATAGAAATAAAAAACACTTGCAGAAAAGTTCTATAGAACTAGATGGAAATCAATCCAATAGGATTCTGTAGACATTACTATAAAAACCTATAGAATTTAGTGAAGAATCTTATTCTTTCTGTAGGTTTATTAAAGCCAGAGACTTTAGTTAGACCAAAGTATTTCAGTCTGTTGCCGGCACCCAGTGCCGAGAGACAAAACAACAGCAGGGTTTGGTTCGCTACCCAGTGTGCTTCACCCAATAATCACAATGGGGTGGAGAAGCAGAAAAGTTTATTTGAAGCTTCAAAAAGGTACAGGGAGAATAGAATCTCAAATCCTGTACACAGAGCAGGAAGTTACACAGGCTTTTATACATCCTTTCTTCAGCATACTTATCCAATAGCAAGCTGCCCTAAGTATCCATACAGCCAGCCAATCCAGTTACCAGCTAGTTCCCTTGTTTTTTGTATCATTTGTTAAACTATACATAAAGCTGCTTTATTCAGCATTTTTCTTCCATATCTGCCCTGTTTGGCCTTGTTTAGTTTCAGGCAGTCTGACTCTGCAACATATTGTTGCAGATCCTCAGCATAACTGCTGTGAGTGCCTCCAGGCGGGGGGGAGAGAGGGGGAGGCGCCAAGGACACTTGGGCCTAGTACGCAGAGCTGCTGCGAGTGCCTCCAGGCGGGGGGGGGAGGGGGGCAAGGACACTTGGGCCTAGTGCGAGGGGGCTTCATCAACACTCGTGGTCTTCCATCCCCTCGAGTTACCTAGTGGCCATGCCCCAGTGTCCCCAACAAGTCCTCAAGAGATTAAACTGTGTACCAATGCTCAATGCCACTGTAACAGCAGGGAATTGACTATGTGAGATATACCTAGATGATCTCAACAGGTAAACCATGCCCCATGCTGGAGAGGAAGGCAAACAAGCCACTTAATAACATATTAGAGATTTATTTTTAAATCCTCATTTAAATTATTGTTACTGTAGATATTTAGAGAAACTTCTGTAGAATCCTATTTACTTC